CCAAGGCAAAAGGCAGTAACTTCCACATTATCAATATTTGGTTGCTGATCACCATTTACAAAATCGTTATAGTAACACCTAAATAAAATCTAGTGATCATGGGCTGTCTCATATAGGCTATTACGTATAGAAATGAAACAAAGGCAGAATGCCGTAACTCAATTTGAGCGTTCCAAACAAAGTGAAAGAGCCGTAACTGATGTTATACGGTGTTCTGCCTTGGCAGTCGTAGTTTCCGAGTTGGGGGCGTGTCAATGAGAAACATGGCGGAATCGATGGCGGCAACGTCTGTAGTTGACGGAAAATTTTTTGTTTAAATTGATAGTTTAGTTGTCCTATAAACTTAAATTGGTCATGTTCTTGTTACGCAGCTGAAATCCAAGTAAAAAAATGCAGACCCTGTTGTATTTTCTTGTAATTTATTAAAAGAAGGTACACCGCCATCTTGTGCCGACTAAACTGACTTGAACGCACCTGACGTCGTAATTACGACTTGTCAACTCGTAAGTACGAACGTCCCAGGAGGACTTGAATGCAGCATTACAGCTGATATGTTCCATGTCTTGCATTGTACATGTGCAATAAAAAATGCAATGTGTGCAATAAAATTTTTTATTAAATAATAATAAAAAAAATGACAGTAAAGACATTAATAATGTTAAAAAAGATTTCTATTTTAAGTTATTTGAATTCACATTTCTATTTTTCATTTCAAATTTATATATAAAAAAAATGAAAACACCTCCACACATTTTATTAAGCTTCATAACCATTTCAGCCATATATAACAGCTATAATAAGAAGAAATGTTTCTTGAGCAGCAATCAGCATGATTTCTGAAGGATCATGTGACACTGAAAGCTGGATTAATGGAGCTTTAAGCATGAGAGGAAAAACACATTTTAAAATATAGAATGCAGTTCTTTTAAATTGTAGATTTATTGTTTTCACTGTAAATGCTTGATCAAATAAATGCAACCTTACTGAGCAGAAGAGATTTGTTTCAAAACCATTAAAAAATCTTACCGACCCTCTTTTGAATGGTGGTGTATATTATATATTTTATTTATAATATATATTTTAAAAGCATGTATTTGGCCCATATAGGCTATAACAGCCCACATTAGTTCATATATAATTTTTAAAAATATGCCATTAAATGCCACATGACATTCATGACATATTTGATATGACTGGAGTTGAAATTATCATAAGTTTCCCAAGGAGAATAAAATCCACTTGAATATAAATTAGTCTATATAAAGTGTTGAATAAACTCTTTAGAAATTTGGCATTTAAACCAACCGCAGACAATCAGCAAACAAAAAGCATTCATATTCATTTTTCCAAACAAGAACAAGAAAAAAGCACATTGTGCTTTATCGTGTCTGAATGCTATGTTGTTTTGATGGGAAGTTCGGCTGCTGCGTTTGGGGTCAGTATGATTTTTTTAGAAAGAAATTAATACTTTTATTCAGCAAAGACGCAATAAGTTGATCAAAAATGCTTTTTTTTTTACTTTCTATTCATCCAAAAAGTATCACTGTTTCCACAGAAGCACAATAATAAGAAATGCTTCTTATGCACAGCATATGTAATGGCTCCTGAAAATTCAGCTTTACCTTTACAAGAATAATTTACATTTTAAAATATAGCAAAATAGTCACAGTACTTTAAATTGCAATAATATTTCACAATACTTCTATTTTTACTGTATTTTTGTATACTGTATCAAATACTGTAAATGCTGCCTTGGAGAGCAAAAGATACTTAAAATGCTTTGTATTCATAATGGCCTTAGAAAAGGGGGGGAAATTGTGTTTTATTGTTGCTAGAAGGACCGTACCTGGATTCCCATTCCCTCTGGCACGCTGATCTTCCATACGCAGCTCAGGCTGTTCAGGTAGGGCTCAGGATAGCCAGGGGACAGAATAGTGCCTATCCGCTGGGTTAGATTCCCTCCACATGGCACTGTAGCACAGACAAAAACACAAAATGATGCAAGACAGGTAAAGAAGGAAAAGCACACAAACCGCCTACAGTATGGAAGGGCATTTGTAATCTTCCAGGACACCACCTTCTTCCTCATGCAGCTCCTGTGGTCAAGCATCTGGTAGCTGCAGTGAAGCGCACATGTAAACAGCTGCACATGAGTGTGGATATCTGAGTGTGTACACACAGATACCTGCGGCAACATCTGCCACATGTGCGCATTTGTGGATGTGTGACACGCTGGAGGCCATGACTGCTGGCCCACAGCTGTGTGCCGTTGCTCGTTAGGCACAGGGAGAGTTTGCTGGTGACGGTTCTGTCTCAAGAGGAGCAGGAGTAGGAGTCTGTTTGCTCTGTGGCCCCAAAGGAAAACCACCAGAGCTGTGATGTGAATCTAACACAGTGCTCATCCAAGCAAATGCTTTGAGGATGGGGACGCAAGTAAACATGCATCACTTAAGCAAGTGTAAGATCTACTAACTGAAAAAAAAAAAAAAGTTTTACTATTTCATCAAATTTCCAAGGAAAATTGACAAAACTACATTGCTCCCATTATCTTCAATGTCATTATTTACTCTAGAAGTACCCATTGAGGAGCTGTGCCTCCAGTAGATGGATGTCTTGTTTCTATTTATTTTATATATAATTATGAATATTTACATATGTTTATATATAATACTTATGAATAATTACATTTGAATATTTTTTAGAAACATTGTGAATGGGCTCTGTGCACAAGCATAGTGACAAACTTCTGCGGTCGCCAGAAGTCGCGATATCAGTTTCCGGTTTACTTTCACATCTCCCAAATTGGCAGTATTTACTAGATGCCTCCAAGATCTGCCTAAAATAAGCATCAGTGATGCCATCGTATCATTGATGCCTGGTCCCCTGCTCCAGCAAGCAAGCGGGACAAGGGATTCAAACTCTTTATATCAAGTTATACACAACTACCGGTTTAATCTATTGCTGCTAAGCTACAGTAGTTAGCAACGTGTCCATTTTCAGTGTAACGTAAAATCTGTATACTAATATTTTAATATTTCACGATTTAATATTAATATATATTTATATTCATATTTCATGCTTTTCTTTTTTCTCCCCTTTTGATAAAATGTACTATGGCCCGATTATACAAACAAGTGTTCTGCTTTGAAGAAAAAAAACAAAAAACGACTGAGTTGAAATCAATAGGAGAATGTTCACACAAGGGTCCTCCATTATGAACTTAAATGCTATGCATAATTTGCAACATATTGTGGATAGAAAGTACAGGGGAAATTACTGGTATGATAATTGTGGTTGTTTTATATTATATATGATTATATTAAGCTATATTACACATGAATTACCTTAGCTAAATCCCCAGGAACATTAGAAACGCAGGGTTATTAAAGTAACAAGCTTATAACTGTTGGCTTATCAATCCTAGCTTCACTCAAACTACGCTTGTGCACAGACCCCATTAGTTGTGTTACATTTTTTGTCTTTATATTTAAAATTTAATGTATTAATAAACAATCATTTAAATAACTAAATACTCTGTGCACAGACCCCATTAGTTGTGTTACATTTTTTGTCTTTATATTTTAAATTTAATGTATTAATAAACAATCATTTAAATAACTAAATACTCTTTATTTATTTATTTATTTTTGCACTATATTTCAGCTATAAATATGCTAAATATAACAAAAATATTATTAATACAATATATACATACATACATACATAATGAATAAGTAATAATAAATACACAAATGAATAATTGCATAGATATATTTCTATATATTTTTATAACCATTTAAACAATTTTACATTTAATGTATTAATTAACACTAAATTAAATAAATTAAATACCTACATGTATGTGTCCTGGTTGTTTTTGTTATTTATATTTTGCCCATCATTTTTATAAACATTATGTGTGAACTTGTTGCCGTAAACTTTTTGTGCTAATATTTTTAATGTATTCATTTATTAACAAATTATAATAAAAACATTTATTTCTTAAATAAAATACAAATGTATATATGAATAAATGCCTGTATTTAAGAAATAAATAATGATATTTGATATAACTGACATTATATTAAAGCCAAACTGAGATGTTTCTGGTGTCCTAATGAGACGGAAACCTCTAAGGATTTCAATCTAAGCAACCTTACCCCACTAAATGGAGTAAGTAAACCTCCAAAATGGTCTGTACATGCATCGATAACTGTTCAGCTGTGCCAATAACTGAATATAGTTCAAATTCATGTTTGTAAAAACACTTGTATTTGTGTTTGCACCCAATAGAGCACACCACCCGGCTAGTGGTCCCAGGTAATTTGAATTCGAGACCCCTGCTCATCAACATACTAGATGGGTGAGCTCACTCAACATCTGGCTCTTGTTGGAATGATGATCGTGGAAGGTGAGAGAAGTGTGGGATGATAGTGCTCTTACCAATGCAGCTGGGCATGCTGCCGTTCCACTGGGCCAGAGCGTTGGGTACAGTCAGGCACTCGATGGCACTGGGCCCCTCCAGGACGTATCCTGCATTGCATTCAAAACTCACCACGGCTCCCACTGCAAAGTTGTTCCCCGTGCGCCTGCCGTGTCTGGGCTCTGGGACTGAGCTACACTGTGTTGCACTGGTTCTCGGGACAGCTAAAGCAAATAAATGCACCACTGTTAGATGAACTTGTACAAACAAAAGACCTTCAGGACCTTACGGCACCTGCCAAGTGAGAAATTCTTTGCAATACATTATATATGCAGTCATGTACCAGATTGTTAGTGAAACTGGCACTTTAAGTGTGAACCACACAGTAGGAACAGTGCACACAGCTGGTTGGGATGTCCCAGAACACCACTACTTTTAACACTTTTATAAGATGCTGTACTTTTCCATTAAGGACACGGCAGGAAATTAACAAGCATATGACTGTAGGCCACAGGGGAGGCCAGATAATACAATAACGCTGCTTTAGCTCCTAAAAACCACACTATCTCAGGGCTCTACAGTGCGACCATTTCAGTCGCATTGAAAAAATATTTAAAAGCACCAGTGCGACTGACCCGATCATCATCATATTTGTTTTCAAAAAACAATTTGGACGTATGACGGAGTATTTCTGTGCTAATAATCTTACTTCCGGGGTCGTACAAGTTTCGGAGAGTTTTTTTCGATCGTGGCTCTTCATGACGTAGACAAGGGTGGAACTCCTTATATGGGCATTTCTCCCAGAATAGCGTGTCTGTGCACACATCGACCAGAGCGAGAGCGAGATCGAGCCCATCAACGCGATTCATCCGGCGGCAACGCTGCACGGGACTCAGTCAGGAAGAATGTGAGATTAACATGAGATTGGGTGAAACTGTGTGTGTTATGCCCCCTTTAACAAAAAAAAAAAATGAAAATCACTTTTGCAATACAGGAAGAGAACTCGAAACTCTCAACTTACCTTGGTAGACCAGGTGGAACCCTCTTGAGCTCGACTGGCCCTTGGAAAAGAAGCGGATAAGGATCTGGTTGGAGGTGGCTAGTGGCAAAGATTCACCTGAAAGTACAAACAAGATGTCATGACATTTGGCGACATTCTAAAACCAATGACATTTGATGTTATTGACCTGCCACAGATGCCAAATTTGTTTGAGAGCAGCAGTGGAGGTGAAGATTATTAATGAACAATGACTTCATATGCCCTGGAATACACTGCATGAGTAGATGTGATAGAGTGTTGTGGCCACTCTAAACTGTTGCTGTATAGATAATATGAATGAATGAGGCATTTATATAGCGCTTTTATTGTGTATTGCTGTACACCCAAAGCGCTTTACAATCATATGAGGGGGTCTCTTCTCAACCACCACCAGTATGCACCAGTATGCAGCATCCACCTGGATGATGCGACGGCAGCCACAGTACAAAAGCGCCAGTGCGCTCACCACACACCAGCTACAGGTCCCCGTCACTATACTGGGGCATTAGGACCCATACAGACCACAGGGTGAGCACCCCCTGCTGGCCTCACTAACACCTCTTCCAGCAGCAACCTAGTTTTCATTTGTGGTAAACTATCCCATTGGAAATGCAATTGCCGTATCGCTCACATTCAACATTGTATTAAAAAAGAAACAGTCCTCGTCTGTTTATATTAACATCAGTTTGAAATTATTTTACTTTTACATTTTGAATGTTCCCAAGTCCAGGTCTATTAATAATCACTTTATCAAAATGCATCGCTCATCATTAGCGTATGTGATTTCTGTGATGTGGTGTGTGGGCTGAGGCTTTGAATCTACCCACAGTCGAGCTTCACAGGGGTTTGCAGAGAGCAGGTTCGGTGTTGACAAATTCATGCAGTGGCCAGAGAAGATGAAACCGCACAACACTTTCGGTCATGTTGGGATCGACCAACGCTCCTGCTCATGCCTCTGGCATGCTGGGATGTTATTAGAACAAATCTCCGTGGGTGGCCGACAGAGTGACAGCTACAGTAATAATCCAGTCGATGTAGAGGTGTGGGGAAACCCTGACCGTTGATTTATTCACACCTGCTGTTTCTTCCGATGGCAACATTATTCTGCAGTGCTGCTCGTAAACTGTTAGGCCCGTGTCACACTGCACCACAATGTCAGTTGTGGGAAACCAGTATGGTGACCACAGCTTCACCTCCGGGAGGATGCATCATGCAACATTCAAGGATGCTGTGGAGCGGATTGACATGGCCTCGACACCATCCTGGCAGGATTCCAGCAGACTGATGTCATTGAGGATCACAATGTCGAATCTGATGACTCGACAGAGGTGGGCATGCCAGTTTGTCTACCTCCGGAGTTGGCAGAGCTCTTTAACAGTGATATGGAGGAGGAAGACTTCGAGGGATTTGCTGAGGAATGAAAAATCGCTCACAAATGCAGTTAGGCCCCAAATGCTTATAGTGCTTATAATTAATACCATTAGCCTAATTTATGTGTTTTATTTTTGACTTAGGCCTACCATTTTTCTCGTTTAGTTCTGAGTCCCTACTGAAACTGAAGGATCAGATGTGGAGTGATGGGAACCAAAAATGCATTCACAAAATAAGTTAAGCTTAAGCCCTCAGTTTGCAAATGTTAATAGTGTATATAATGCTCTGTTTTGTTTGAAAGTTTGGGGCAAGTAAGATTTATTTATTTATTTATTTTTAACGAAAATAATAGGTAATAGTAAATAAATTTATAATGTTACAAAATATTTCCATTTTCTTGAGCACCAAATCTGCATATTAGAATGATTTCTAAAGGATTGTGTGACACTGAAGACTGGAGTAAAATTTAAACTTAGTAAAACTTTGCCATCACAGGAATGCATTACATTTTAAAATAAATTAAACTGAAAACAGTTATTTTAAATTGTAATAATATTTCATAGTATTACTGTTATATTACTGTTACTATCAAATGATATCGGAGCATAAGCATTAACCTTACCGGCCACAAGCTGTTAAATGGTAGTATATACAATTCTATTTTGACCAAGTGAGACATTTAGGACTTCTTTTAATTATAGCCATAAATTATAAAATGCTTATTGGGAGTTTATATAAGAATAAGAATAAGAATATTAAAAATGACTACAAACTTGATTTACATGAGGAACACATTTACATTCAAATGGTATTTAATCTCCACAGAATGAAACCCAAATCCAAAGTGTTGCTAAGACCTACTTAAATCACATGTTTCTGTCTCAGTAATAGTATAAAGGTAACTGTGCGATAAAATAGACTTCCATGGTAGCTTGTTAATATGGGCAGCAAAAGGCCTTTTTCTGTCTATAAGGGAACAGCATACTTGTCTATTCTTTAAAATAAGTTTCCAACAGTTAATTCACAGAGGACGACTTCAATTGAAACTTGCTGTTCGCTTGTGCAGATTATTCATTCCCTACATGATTTTCTGAAAAAGTTGAGCAACATCCATCAAAACTGACAACTGTGCGTATAACAGTTGTGACATACAGCAACTCTTGTTTCCCTTCTCTGTGCAGCACAAAAAGTTAATAGAAAATCTGCTGTTTTATGCGGCCCAGTATCAATCTTGACTATTCCCTGCTCTCTATTCACGCTCCAAAGTGTGCATTATTTCCAGCAGCCCCCAGCACACTTCACTGATTTCACACCAGCATCTGAAGTTAAAAAGCGCATCTCAGATAGTATATACGCTCTGAGCGGTTCACCTTCCTTGAGCGCAGGGTTTCACGCCGTATGCTAATCATGGGTGTTTGACTGGTGTGAAGGGTGAAGAAAAAATAGAAATGTACACAGCTCATCTGCGTTGTCATGGGAATGTCAGAAGCAGAGAGATCGAGCGAGAAAACCCTGTTAATCTTCGAGCCGAAATCTCCTCAACTGACCACATTAAACGGAACTCCATTATGGCTGAATAAAAGCTTTCAGCCTCGCTGTCTCACTGGGGATCTATTTAGCTAGTCTGTTTATGCTTATTTGATTCTGTTTTCTTATCTGTTTTAAGGAAGAGAGCCCTATTTACTGGATCCAGTGAAAGCTGTTTGTTAAGACTGTATGAGTCATCAAGCTTGTTATGCATTTTATTCTCTTGAGTACATCATTATCTCTCATGTACGTCATTATATGTTCTGATAATTAAGAACTCAGGAGATTATACACAAGTACTGAGGCAACTTTAACGATTTAAAGCTGAAATGTGTCACTTTTTTGTTTTACTTAAAAAAAAAAAATACGTACAGAACTTGACATTCAGAGAATAGGTGTGTGCAAAACTACATTAAATAAATAAATACATAAATTTAGTTAAGGTTAAGCCATATGTTCGCAAATGTACCACTTTTATGTACCACTTTCCACATATACCATACAGTAGAAGTCATTATTCTTACAATTCCGACTTCAGCTTTAAATTTTTGTATTTGAGAATCGCACAGGCTTGTGTCTCTTTTACTTTTAGATGCAACTCATCTTGGTAATTGAGTTGCTTAATTGACTTCTTCTATTTACCTTTGGGTCTGAATGCAGCCTCTTTAGCATTCATCTCCTAATGCCAGTATAGACCAACAGAGTCAAGTTAATACCGCTCGAGAAAGGTTTACTGACCTGTGTGGGCCCCAGAGAGAGAACTCAGGACACGGGCATGCTGGGTAGGCCCATCATACACCTCCACAACATCATTTAGTGCAGTCTGGAAGAATGCAAATTGGCTGAACACCACTGCAGAGAGATAAAGAGAAAAAGTAAAGAGACATAATTACATCAAAACTACGAACTATGCAGCTAAAACCATGACTCTGCAAATGTTAATTCAATAGTAAAAGACAGAACCTAATCACACCTGTGAACCACCTGTTGTCCTCTCTATAGACACCTGGTGCTTAGTAGATTAAATTTCCAAATGAGAGCCATAAAAAAGAAACCCTGTGTTGCGATGCTCCCTATCCCACAGCTGTTTGAAACCATTATGACATGCCTACGGAAATGTGTGCCTTAATTAGCTCTGCTTCCACAACATTTGGCTAGACCCAGACAAAATACAGACAGGCTCGCCTCTGCTAATTCACACTCTGTAGGAACCCCAAACTGGCCAAACGACCTCCGTGTTTTATGGATCAAATAAAAGGGTCCTGTGGTCAAGCAGAAGCTGCTGGGGTTATATGAGGGGATATCCAGAAGTTGTCCGTAGCTAGAGGCTCTATAGCCCTGAAAGAAGGGCAATACAAGTCAAAGTCCCTTTCAGTTTACTCGGCGGCCAATTTGCAATGCCTCCGGGCAGCTATTTTGGGCATGCAACTCCAACTACTTAAATGTGGGGATACTGAAATCACAAAACCATAACATTTAAAGCAGCAATAAAATAAGACATGAACTGTCCCATAAATGTTGTTTATTATGCTCAAATATCATTAAAACAGGGCATATTTCAGGTTGGTCCAGCCAACATGCATGCATGTGCAGTCTTCTATGCATACTGTTTTTTTATGGGAACTGGAGTATCTAATGACATCTGGAGTGATGTGATGACCAATTGACGATTGCATCTTTTATTTAGAAGGCAGGACTTCCACTATATTGTACAGAATATGAGTGAACCATCTTGGTATATAACCCATCTAGTATATATTAGGGGGAGTCGTGGCCTTATGGTTAGAGAGTCAGCCTCGTAACCCAAATGTTGTGGGTTCGAGTCTCGTACAGGCAGGGATTGTAGGTGGGGGGAGTGAATGTACAGCGCTCTCTTCCACCTTCAATATCACGACTGAGGTGCCCTTGAGCAAGGCACCGAACCCCCAACTGCTCCCCGGGCGCCGCAGCAAAAATGGCTGCCCACTGCTCCGGGTGTGTGTTCACGGTGTGTGTTCCCTGCTGTGTGTGTGTGCACTTTGGATGGGATAAATGCAGAGCACTAATTCCGAGTATGGGTCACCATACTTGGCCACATGTCACTTTCACTTCACATATGCATTCTATTGGGTTTTAAGATGAATATACATTCACTGTATCTCCTCGTCCTAACTAATTGTGACATAAATTCTGAGTGATAAATCAAGGCAACCAGAACACATTCTTTTTGTATTTTTGACCAATGAGTTACTGTTGGTGCTATCCAGAATGATGCAATGAAAATAGATACCAAGAAACAGCCCAAATAATACAGCCCAAAATTTGCTGTTGGTGGCTGTGATTTAACCCTTTATGCCCTTGCATGCCTGATTCAGACATGGTGTACTGGATTGGATAATCTCATTAGCCCCTGTAGATGCTGAAACTGCAAAATTTAGTTCCAAAAAGCATTGACAACCATTCAAACATAGCTGTGCATTCAGATTATTTTGTAAACAACATAAATATTGCATTTAAAAAAATATATATATATTAGATGATTTTACAATGCCTGATGTGTTTGCAAGGCTGGTAAACACATGAAAGGATTTCAATTTCTCCCTGTCTTTGACGTCTCTTCTCAGGATAATTGCTAGTAGTGTTCTAGATACCAACATTTTGACTTTGATATGATACCTGACTAAAATATCTTGAATGCTACTACTGAACCGATACCATGAAAAAAATTAAGAAAAAAAAGAAAAGAGAGAAATCTCTCACTTGACCACACAGGCCTATGGTGAGCAACAACCAGTCAATGACTATGATACAGCCGAGCCTACAAGTATGTATAGATCTTTGCAACATTGGTAAGTTAGCTTAGGGCATGAGGTGGGGGTGGGAAATACTGTATGACCAAAATATTATTCAACGCTAGGAGTAATTTTATTTCACAATAACAATTTACATCATGATATAGTCATTTTTGTTATTAATAATAAGATAACATAGATGCGAGCGACAGATAAAAGAACAAATACAATAAAACAAAGACACAAATTAAATAAACTGTGTTTTTAGGTACAGTAGGTCTATTTAACAGTAGCATTCAAGAAAGAGATGATCCGGAAACTGAATAAAGTAATCAAAATGTAGAAGTAAAGCACTGAATAGTCTTCACTATATGAATGAAACATACATACATGTATCCTTATTAAAGCTAGTAAAGTTAGTCAAGATTAGAGAGTGATTTTATATTTTTCTTGATTAACATTGTAGAGACAGACAGCAGCAGGAATATTAGTCTACTGTCACTTTTAAGAGCTGCACGGACCCAATTTATTGACGCACACGCGTTTTCTTTCTCAGCTGTTTTCGTTCATTTCAGTCATAAACCAAGAAAGGCATTTTAACATAATTGTGTGTGTATTTGACTGCTGAAGCACAGTAACTGCTGAAAAAGATCTGAACTCGGGATCGCATGCTGTCTGCGAGAGAGAGGACTCCCGTGCACGTGCTTCAGGTGTGTGATAGCACGCGAGTTCTTTTTCGAGGTTTATTGTTCTTAACTCTTTTTAACATCAAGCACGTTCCGTGCTTTATTTTCTCATTCATGCATGTTTCTCATTCACTTTAAGCAGTGCTGTGCTGATATATAAAGTTTGGCACAGCCAGTGTTCATGCAGGGAGCTGAAGCAGAGTGCTGAACACACACTGTCCTGCTGTTGCACGTCAACACAACTCAGAAAATACGGCTTTTATTAAAACACTGTCATTCTTAAAATACCGGTAGTAAAATGAGGAATCATACCGTTTTTAAAAGCGGGGTATTGCGATACCTTTTTAGTACCGGTATATCGTGCAACACTAGTTGCTATTGAAAGGTTTAGGACTGTGTGCATTTCCTGTGACGCCATTCAAATTACTGAGATAAATGGGAATGCTAACAGTAAGCTTTCCCATTACACTGTAGACTTCCTTGGTTGTAATGCCACAGAAGTTCATGAATATTACTGTGTATGTATAGTATGTTTACACATGTGCTTACTTACCATAGTCTTTCGGCACAATGACGGAGTACAGGCAAGTCCTGCCACTGCTGTAGTTTCCAGGATAACCAGGGGAGAGCACCACCCCCTCCAACCCTGAATACTGACCACCGCACAGAGCTGAGCAAGAGGGACAGCCACAGAAAGAAGGCATTAGAGACTAATATTCTGTCCTCCCCATCTCCTCTCTGCCGTTCCCTCATTCTGCTGATTAAATTACTTTTCTTGTCTGATTCCTGAGCTGCCCTGCTAGATGTCCCCAGTGTTTACTGAAGTGAAATTGCAGTGTGTTCAAAGTATTCCTCAAGGTTACATTGCAAAGTTGAGCCTTTGCTTATTTCCAAGGGAACGGCAGCAGATGTGACAAACACTAGGTTTTTGACAACGTAAGAACATATATGGTTACAGAACAAAAGCTTGAACAAAAATGTGTGTTGCGTTTTTACCTATGCAAACAGGTTTTGGTTTGTTCCAGCCGGGCTTGCCGTCTCCCCCCATGATGCAAGTGAGAGTGGCGTCTCCCTCCAGCGTATAGCCGCTGTCACAGTAATAGGTGACAGTTGCCCCCAGCTTCAGCTCAGTACCAACACGAGTACCATTACGCACCAGGCCTGGCTCAAAGCACGACTCTCTGGGATTTTCTGTTGAGGAAAAGAAACAGAAAGTATGGTGAGAGGGATAAAGAAGAAAAGGCAGGAAGATATGATTTATAGCTATTTGTGAAAGACTGATAATCCAGTGTGCACAGGGACCTTTATATATACACATACTCACCAAACAGCTAATGTAAGTAAAAAACTGGCTTTGTCGAGTAAATAATGTAGTCACTTGCCAAATGGTGTGTGATTTTATTTGGAACTACAGTGTAACACGTTTCAAATCTAAGACATGCAAATCATATACTAAATAAAAAATCTGTAAAAACTTTTAATGATATATTAGTCTTCTCATATACAGTGGGAATAGAAAAGAATCACCCCCTTTAAAATAATCACATTTTGTTGATTTGCAGCCTGAAATGAATACAGACACAGTTTTTGTTTTATCCAGCTGCATTTACTCAATGCAACTTATAACATGCAAAATGTGATTATTTTAAAGGAAGGTGATTCTTTTCTATACCCATTGAATGATTCTGCAAACATCAATCAAATTAAGTTTTCACATAATAATAATAATAATAATAATAGCAAGAAGAAGAAGAAGAAGAAGAAGAAGAAGAAGAACCCTGCTTGTGCAGGTTGTGAAGAACCAACAGCTATGAACCAACTGACCTATGAAAGGTCAGTACTGGAGAGGCTATGTTGAAATGTTTCTCAAAAGAATCACAACTGAGACTCCCATGAGCTAAAAATAGAAGAAAAAAGACAGAGGAGGCTCTTTGTGTGAATAAGTGCCCTTCAAAGGTGCTTCAAATGAGCGCACGTAGATGCTTTCACCAATTCACAATCCAGAAATATGCCACAGCAACCTACATGCCCTGTGGAGCATGAACGGCCGACCCAGGACATATTAAAAGTGACAATGGGCTAGATCAGGTCTGCTGACTACACAAAACAGTCCATCACCCAGCAGGACATGTGTATGGTGCACACCGCATACTTTGGCCAAAATTAGAAATCAATCATTCTTACTACACATCTGCATTGCACAGCAAAAAATGGGTTGCATGCAGTTCTTGTTGAGATATTACTTCCAAACATAGTTACACTGCAATGTTCGTTCTGATGCCGTGCCCTTCATGGCCCAATAGCATATTGAAACCGGCCGCAATCTGTACACTATGGCCGGCGTTCCAGACGGTCCATAACTCAGTTCATCTTCCTACAACTGGCTCCTCACCGCTCTAACAAGACGAGTGCGGGACGAACAGTAATTAAGAGTGGACCGCAGCCAGTCTTAAAGTCTAGCTCAGGTGTCCATTGATGAGGTTGCGTATGAGTGTGTGTTCGTGCATTTGGACATGACACATGTTTGAGCTGGCAGGGAACACTCTGGACGAGCAATGGAGTGCATATGTGTGTGTGGTGTTTATTTAACTGTCGGTCAAGCGTGCAGAGCCTTGGCCCACATATTGCACCTCGGAGGCCAATCAGACGCAGTTGGGAGTCTGTGAGAAGCTGATTGGTCTGTAAAGAGGTTGACAGCACCTGAAGCTCGTTCCAACAGCAGCGGCACGCGCAGATGAACCAACGTGATCCAGTGTCAGACTGGCTAAACTAACACTTCTGTCAGGGTTAAGCTGAAACAAACACACTTTTTGCTGTGTTTATGATTTGCTTCCACATTATTAGTTTATACTAATTCATTGTGAGGAGACTGGGGTCTGGAACTGGAGCTTTTGAAGTGCCACACACTGTGTCCATCTGCTGCACCAGATTGAGAGAATACTGTTCCTCATTCACCAAGCACAACAGAGGGTGATCTATAGAGCACGGTCTCTCTCTCTCTCTCTGACTCTGACCACTGCATGCCAGCGACGGCCATCAGTAGGTAGTGGTCTATTGTGGTTCACTTTAAGTTCATTGACAGAGACTGTAAAAAGCATGTATAACAAACAAGGAGTGTAAAAGCATCAATGTGGTAGCTGCTGTTGTTGTTCTGAAACATTTGTCTTACTGGACGCCATGAGACCAGTGTTAATTTCACCATATTTACAAAATAAATTAATTAATTTATACACTACCTTTCAAAAGTTTGGTGTTGCTTAGTCTCTTACACGTATTAAGGCTGCATTTATTTGATCAAACATACTGTAAAAACAGTACTATTGTGAAACATTTTTTCAACTTCTTTATTTTTAATATATTTCAAAATGCAATTTATTTCTCTAGTCTTTATTCTTCTATTTAGTGGCACATGATCCTTCAAATATTATTCTAATATTTTGATTTGCCGCTCAAGAAACATATGTTATTATTATTAATGATTAATGATTTTTTTCCTCATTTGTAAGTCGCTTTGGATAAAAGTGTCTGCTAAATGACTAAATGTACATGTAAATGTAATGTTAAACAGATGTGGTGCTTAACATTTTTGAGGAAACTTTTTTTTTCAGGATTCTTCAATGAATAGAACGTTCAAAACACCATTTATTTTAAATAGAAATATTTTGTTACAATGTAAATGTCTTTAATGACACTATCAATCAATTTAACGCATCCTTGCTGAATAAAAGTATGAATTACTATAAAAAAAGACAGCAACCTTTTGAACAGCATGCTACTTTTCCTTACTTTTTCCAAAAATAGGTAAAAGTGTCATATATGAATTATTATAGGAAACAGTATCAGTGCCTTAGTAAAACTGCACATATCACAAAAACATTGTGATTTTGTTATTATTATATTAATTTTACATGTATATCTTCACATTCTACATAATTTTCAACACAAGGAGGTCTATAAAGAAAAAAAAAATGGCATTTTATATAGATTTCTGATGGTCCACTGAGGCAAGGATCATAGAAGAATTGTGGCAGTTTTGTCGGTATCTCTGTTTTACTTGCTTGCCAAAGGCAAATTTTACCCTGTTTCGGACTCTTGGCGAGTACTGATTTGGGATCCTGTTGTGTCTGATCGGACAAGTCTGTCCTTTCATGAATAAACTAATAAGCCAAAGTGTCATCAAACAAAGTGAGGTCAGCAGGGCGCATACGGAGACAGCAAACTCGCATTTGTTCTCATTTGTGCTGAGCCTTTAGTGTGACAGCAAAACATTGATCAAATGTCAGCTTTAGTGAGTGCATTCTGGCTTTTCATTTTCATAATTCTTCTCTAGACAACTGCGAGAAGTGCCACGGGTCGATAATTATATGCTACATGAAAGCGGTACGAGCAGGAGGGGGTGATCAAGGCAACAGTCAAAGTGCTGTTGCAGTACGGCACACTACAGAAACAAAAGAACAAAAGGCAAAGAACAAAGACAAATGGAAAATTAAGGTAATTCTGATACTACTTTTTAACCAAATTCTCCTGCAATACAGGCACAGAAAGTTCCTACAAAATGGGAAAGCATGCAACTTATTCCTCCCACCTCAAGGGGGCAACATACCAGTGTACTGCAGGACAAATCCATTGCTGCTGAGTGAGGCGTCACTGCGGAAGGCCAGGAAGAGAGTGTTGGAGCTGCTCTCAATGCGCTCAGGGACGTCCGTGCCGTAAAAGCTGCCCAGCAGATGGCTGAGAGAATCAGGCCCATCGTAGACATGCAGGAAGTCGTAGCTTGGCTCTAAACTAAAGCTAGTGGGAAGAAGTAAACATGTATGCTATAACTATAAACAACCAGCGTTGTTATTGTAACTAAAACTATTAAACTACTATTAAAAATAGTTTCCGTTAATTGAAATAAATCTAAAATGATAAATATTAGAAAAATAACACTGTATAGTATAATATGGTAATGTAACTACGGGAAAATGGGAGACTTTAGTTTTAAAAAACAATCTTACTGATTAAAAGTGAGTGATATGATGTGATCTGGCATTACTGTTACTGTCCAGTCACATTCTCTGCCATGAGGATAAGGCTCTGGGTATTCAGGGGACAGGATCAGTCCACTGGGACCAGTCAGATTGCCTCCACATGGAGCTGCAATACAAAAGGAAGGAAAAAGAAACAGTGGAAATTGAAATACTGAACATACTACTTGCACTTTCAAAATGTGGGCCTTTAATGCTAAAACTTCATCTAGAACAGTGGTTCTCAACCAGGGGGCCGGGGCACACTAGGGGGCCTCCGCAAACTTCCAAACTAAGCCTGAAAAACGTATAGATCAATACAGTATTAAAAAGTCATAAAATATAAATTTAATTAGGTAGAAATTGAGTACAAATTATTTATCCTCATCCAGTAAAAATGGGAAAAGTCATGGGACCTACAAATATTATTGTTCACAAATAAGGAACTTGGAGTCAACAAAAAACCCAGATGATCTAGAACATAGTTGTAATTTTGCTTTATTGAGATAAACACTTCCTGTTTTAACTATTAGCAAATCTGTAATTATCTAGTCCCAAAGATTATTAAGTAAATGAAGTCATGTGCTCAACTCAGCAGTTGCAGGTTTTTAAAAGAAAACCTGGAACAGACAAACATCTCCAGGGTTTTGCCTGTGGTTCGGGTTAACATTAACACAAACTCATACTGAGTTTAATTGAACAAGGCAACCTAATTATATTATAGTTAAGACTGGCTATTAACATAAAGTGGCTTTAATTCACAAAAGAAAACCAAATACTGCTGCCCCTAATGTCCACAAAAATCATTTTCTGGGAAGTAGTGTGATGAAATCTTTATAATGTAGCTGCTGTAAGAGAATAGATGGTATATGGTATATGGAATAGATAACTAGGCCTTGAACAAAGGAAACTGAAAATAATTTCAATATGACTTGAATTGCATCATTGAGTGTTGAGCTCATTATATAAAGTGTGCTTACATGAGTTTTCAGAATGTTCAGGGTTTTCTGCAGTTTTGATGTCAACAGTATATTAGCATTATTAGCCATTAGCAAAACCAAAACTCTGTCAATATTCATTCTAGTTGCACCTTTGCTTGTGTGATACTGATTAATTTGATGTCTTTCTTTATGTGAAACTGATGGGACAGAGTATCCACCTTATTTTTTCAGGAAGTAAGCTATTTCCTGTGAATGTGGGAGTCTTGTGATTAATTTGGCTGCTATCAGTAAATTACTAGAGGATTAACAGTGCAGTAAATGGTGAAACTATTTGTGCAAAAAACATTTAAAAAAAAACTCTGATTGTGATTACAATAGTTATTTAAAATAATAAATTAAATTAATATGATAACAAATACCAGTTTGCACCATGAAGCAGCATAAGACCATAACTACATGCTTTCTACAGCTAAAAAAACCGGAAGCGTATAACATCAGAAGCCATGCACATTCAAGATAAAAATGCCTGCTCTTACATTAAAAATAAAGTGTAAAGATGGAGGGATCACTGTGGAAGTGTTGGTTGAGGAAGGGAGCATTTACATTTCTTAATTTGGCATGCTCTTACCAGAACAGGTGGGTGGATCAGGCTGCCAGAAGAAACGGTTGTTGATCTCGGTACAGGTGATTTTGGTCGCCCCCTGTAGGAGGTATCCGGGATCGCACTGGAACAGCACATGATCTCCTGGCTCTCTGCTGTCTCCTATGCGGGTGCCATTTGTTGGAATGCCAGGATCATTACAAGAAGTGGCAGTTGAAACTGCAGAAAGGAAAACATCCAGTCAGCAACCTTAACGTAATCAATGGATGCCATTGTCTCAATATAGACCAATGGTTCTCAACCTTTTTAACTCGAAAGCCTCCCATTGTCAAGGACAACCACTGTCCTTAGACTAAGAAATAGAAAGTCTGTTGTTCATGAGTAACCAATCTAAGTTATTTGCTGGTTTGTGGTACTGACCTACCAAGCATTACACACATCCACAATAACTGCTGTAAGCCTGCATACAGTACTACCTACACAGTTAGAGCCACTGAGTCTGTAGCACCCAAATGACATCTCTAGTCCGCATGCTTCTACACACGTTCATTTATTTATCTAGACACCTGCATCTCTGTGGCACTCTCTCAAAGATGCTTTAACCCAGATGGGTTGTTTTAAAAGTAAAATGTGAGGCTTTGGAACAGAAATATCATGGCATTGATGTGTAATGCATATTTCTTTTCACTTTTTATGTAAAACATTTAATGTATTTTTTGAGTCTCTAAGATATCACACAAGAAATCAGGACACTGTGGTTGGAGTGATGGCTGATGGATGTGGGCAGGGATGGTTACCCTGGTTACAAGCTGACAGCAGACAGAAGCACATAAACCTTGGCTTAACGGGTTTCATTTATTGTCAGTGGAGAGGTTGCATCTGTAAGGTCGTGCTGCATGGTGGGTGCTGTCGTTGGCTTTAGGAGAAGCTCTAAGATGGTGCTTTTCTGTTGTCATTCTGGAGCTCAAGCACTATCTCCTACTAGCAAGGTTTTTATCAAAAATTTTATGAGTTTCAGGATGGGGCTGGATGGAAAGTGGGATGGAACATGGAAGCACATTTACTGAATACATTTCTAGATACGAACCAAAAATATCATGCGACTTGCCTCAAGGCCTCATGTTACAGATTAATTTGCTCGGATGATTGGCTACTACTGACTCATAGAACTGTCGACCCATTGTTCACATACTTAACGTTTTGTCTGCATGCTCAAAACGGCAAGAAATGTATTACATTTAATAAAATAGCCAGTCACACTTCAGTTTGGGGACCAATTCTCACTATTAACTAACTATTAACAATGACTTTTGCCTCAATAAACTCCTAATTTGCTGCTAATGAAAGTGAAAGTGACGTGTAGCCAAGTATGGTGTCCCATTCTTGGAATTTGTGGTCTGCACAAGACTCAAACCCTTGACCTTTGGGTTACAAGTCTGACTCTCTAACCATTAGGCCACAGCTGCCCCAATACAATAATAAGAGACCTAAAATATGGTCATGCAGAATAAGACATTAATACTGTATGTGCATTATAAGTACTAATAAAGCCAAAATGCTAGTAATATGCATGCTAATAAGTAAGTAGTTAACAGTGAGAATTGGTCCCTAAACTAAAGTGTTACCAAAGAGCCAAAGTGGCTTGGAATACAAGGGATGGAAACCCCATTTTATCTACAATTTGTAGCAATATTTCAGTTTTCGCATAAAATCAACAACCTGGATGAAAATGTGTCTACACCAACTCTGAGCAACCGCTTGCTTTACAGAGACCTTGGTTCTGGAAGAGTTCTTCCAGTTCATATTCTGCACTGGCATTTAAAATTAAATAAATAAAGACGTTCAAGCCTTGAACCAAATCAAATAGCGAAGGATTTTGATTCAATGGAAAAGAGCAAAATAAACAAAATGCACTTATATTTTGTGAGGGAATAAACTATTCATCCCTTAAAGCATCTACAAGGATTGCGAATTCTGCAATCGAACCATCCACGCTGATCGCTGGTGAAAGTGTGGTGCTGTGAAGTGGATTGAGAGTGAATGGAGTGTGAGTAAAACACATACCCGAGAACTGCAGAGCGAAACCCTGCTTGCTGGTGAAGAAGTCGGTTGTAAACTGCAGACTGACAGAGTTGAAGGTGCTGTGGAGGTCTGGAGGAAGTGTAGAGCCACTCAGCTCTCTCAGCAGAACACCTCCGTCCTGAGGCCCATCCCAGATCCGCAAAACATCATGCACCTCTTCTGTGTGGAAGACCAGGAAATGCAACCTGTGGAGTTACACAAGCCAACATGATATGTATTTGTCAGTTATTGTGTTTAGATTAAATAAGGTAAGTCAGAAGGGAGGAAAGAAAAGAGAGAAAAAGCAATCTACAGTATATAGCACCAAGGGGAAAGAGAAGTAACACACAAGTGATAATTTGTACATTTTCACAGGTTTTCACTAGTTATATAATAATAATTTGTTCGAAGAGAGATACGGTCAATTTGGAGTTGCGAGACAGGAAATTAGCACGTGGATAGTGCATAATATCAGAAGGATCTTAAAGAAGGAGACAGACAGAGAAAAGATAAGGGGGGAAAAAAGTCAAAAATAAGTGAAAATTAGTAGATTGACATTCATTTTCAGGTATTAAATATAAACAAGAATATTAATGAATGAGAGACAATCTCTTTTTAAGTTATACTGTGGAAAATTCAGCATTTACTGTAAGTCATTAACCTTTGAGAAAAAAAGAAATTCAATAAGGACTTTTAAAGTAATGCCATAAATGTGACATGTCACTTCCAATCTGAGAGAAATGTGCTTGTTTTCTGCAACCTAAATGCCAGAACCAGATTACTTTACTAATGCACAAGGTACTCTATACATAACTAACAAAGTGTTCTCTACTGATAATTATAACAGATTGCCTCTACAGAAACAATCTGGCTCTGTACATTGTCACTGCCGGTAATAAGAGGACATTAGGAAAACAGATTTTTCTCACCTCTTGAGAACAGTCTAGTGCATTGTATGATGCACACTAAGGACAAATTTACCAAGACTGCCACATCTTTTGAATTACAGAAATGTGCAACCAAAAAAAAAAAAAAAAATCCA